ATTGTCACCAATACCTGATCACATTTTTTTTAACACTGGGACTGATACAGATATTAATATTGAGTCTGTGTTTCTATAACAAAAAGTTAAGGAGTTGAATGTAGCGGTGCATTTTTTAAATAAATGTCTTCACATATATGCATTGCTTTCTGCTGGGCTCATATAAAAAATGCAGTAAGGTTTGAGTTTGCGCCCTCATAAATTGTGAAAAACTTTAATGGGTACTAATCCTTTTGCAAGGCAGAGGACTGTGCATGGTCTGCAGAAAATAAGATATCTTTCATTGTCCATATGGACCAGTATGCCTGGTCTTTGTCCAGCAGAAGAAGGCAGAATACCCAAAGATTTTACTGTAGTAAGAGAAGCACTACTTAAACACATTTTACTCAAGTAAAAGTAAAAAGTAGTAGTACAAAAATATTACTCAAGTAAGAGTAAAAAAGTAATATTGGTCTTTAAAAGACACAAATGACAATAATTCATATAAATAACACAGAATAAAATCAGGCAAAATAAATCAAAATCAGTTTCTTTTAATAAAAAACTTACGAAACTTTAACAAAAACTGCAGGTGTGTTTCTGTGTCTGGTGAACTTTTGGTTAAAATATGTTTGTTTTTCATTCATTGGGTAGAGAATCCAGAAACTTTATTCAAGTAAGAGTAACTATACTTCATAATGAAATAAAAGTAAAAAGCACAGCATAGTGAAAATATTCATAAAAGTAAACTTTCAAAATAGTTGCTGAAGTAAATGTAATTGAGTAAGTGTAACTAGCTGCTACCAAACTCTGAAATGATTAGGAGAAAATCCCACTTTGGGTGCACCACAAGCAGGTCGCTAATCCATCAAAGAGGAAACTGAATATTCTCCTTAAAATGCAAATTGATTTGCTTGTTAAAGTTCATCTCCTGGAAGTGCGTGGCATTCAAACAAATTGGAGTTTTTAACTTTACACTCAGGCATTCAAATGTGTAGACAGATATTGATCAGGGAAAAACATGACCTTGCTGCCCTTTAGCAGCACCAGTGTTTTCCTTTCCTGACTTCCTCCCCAAATTAAAGAGCCACACACTTGATTCCTTCAAAACGTGCCTGAACGGAGCGACAGGGCGTGTTTGTAGGGATGGCGGTGACTCTGACACTGAAAGGGTCGACAAGACCACTGCCTGAGCTGCAAACAGATGCTCTGTTGCTGTGAAGAAACATCTGACCTCTGCTGGTTTTTCACAGGGATGAGGACAATCTTTGTATTCACATGGAACTAATAAAGCAGTAATTATTCATATGTAACACAGCAGCTCTGAACACAGTCATTATTCTGGGGCTAATGTCAGACACCAAGCAGGCAGCATAACATTTTTAGACCATTTGTGATTTGATTCCCACCAAGTCCTCTCTGCATAATGACGCCAATTAAGGTACATTAGTAATCTCAACATGCTGTCTTAAGTGACTGTAATGGCTTCATTATTTTGTTCTTGCAAAGGTCTTATTCCCAGGAGTGCAGCTAAGACGTCTGAGGCCTCAGAAACATATTTGCCTCGGGGGGCAGGCCCCGTTGTTTAGTGCAATATGTTCCCCTAATGAGGCTGCTCTGACTTCAGGTTTCACCTTTTGCCTGTCTGATAACAGGATATGTATTGAATTAGGCAGGTAATATTTTTTATTGATTTTTAATGTTTAAAATGAAATTAAACAAATTTCTAAATTCCCACCTGGAATGAAACAGATACTGGTTTGAACAATTTACATTTTGAAAATTGCACATTAGATGCTGAGCTATTAGAAACTACAGAAATGTTTATTTTTCAATAGAAGCAGCTGATTATTGTTAAATCTCTCAAAGAGGATAAATTATGATATATAGGATCTATATTTTTAAGCATAATGACTTTTGTAAGAGGATTTATCTTACTGAACAACATACTTTGAAAACTTTGGTTGCAGTGTGACAAAATGAACAAAAGTACATCTGTGAAGGACTTGATCCCAGAGGAGACATCAGTTAAATTAATTCATCCCAGAAATTTATGAATTAAGTCATTTATCAAAGTCATTCAAACATTCTCTATCTTTATTCTCTATTGTCTCTTCCCTGAATTATTTCCTTCAGATGTCTGAAAACCTTATATTAGTAAAATAGTTTAATTAAATAAAATGAAAATCTGACTCCATGTGCTAAACTGTAACACTTAAATTACAGGCTTTTAAAACTAACTGCTGCATGATATTGATATCAGATGCAATTCTAACATCATTCCTAGATACTGAAAATATATATGGACAGCAAAATAAACATTTTCCAGACACTTTACTTTCTTTTCCATCTTCACTTTCGATGATCTTTACTACTTTGGACACCAAAATCTACCTCAGGTGAGAAATTTATGGAAGTGAAAATCCACCCAGTTGGCCAAATGTGTTATTGTAAATATTGAATCTAAGCAGGTTTTTATGATTGCACACACTCATACTACAAAAATCCACAACAATTTAAAAATTAACCTACATGAGGCAGATTGAGTAGTTGGACTTTTCACAAATCATTTTGACACAATGCAGTGTCAAAACAAATTAAAACTTCAAAACTTTATGCAGAGATGGTCGTTCCAAAGACGAAGGAAAAACCCACAAAATTAAAATATGTCATGTAAATCGTATAAGTTTCACTTTTAAATATATGAAAGCAATTTATGACAGCAATATTGTGCAGTGTAGACTAATCTCCTTCCTTTTATGAATGCTCACCAAGCATAACTTGTATTAAGGGATCTTTTTCACATTTTAGGCTTTATTCAAACAACTCAATAGAAAAAAACCCACACAAGAAGTAGATTATTTTACTTACTCATATAAAGAAACTCATCCACAGAAAAATACCCCTACTAGTCTATTCAAATGTCTGTACTTCTTAGTCAATTCACTGCACAGAATCTGATGCTTTTATTCATTTTTTCATTACATATTAATTCCTGTCCTGGGGCAGAACTTATTTAATGGTCAGGAATTATTATCTTACCCGTCACTGATTCGGACAAGTATGGCCCGGTAGAGCTGGTGCTGCGGGCTGTTGGACTGCGGACCACAGGGATGGATAAATGGATGGACGGCCGCAAGGACAAACCCCTGCTGGTAAAGCTCCTGGAGCTGATCGGGCAGCTCCCGCACCGACGAGAGGCGCAGCGTTGAGGTCCCACCTGGGAAAAACAAAGAGAAAGAATTATGGACGGTGACTTTAAAATGTCCTTTGCAGAAATATTTGGTGCACAAATGGAAAAGCTTCATCATGTATGGATTTCTGTTTGAATTTCCAAGTCTGTCAGTCATGGTGGTGGTTAATATTTGGTTCTTGTCTGCTTAAATGCAGCAATCTCTGCTTCTGTAAATCATTTCTTTTATTTTTCCCAGGGAAAGGTAAGTGTTCTTAGTGTTCTTGTTTGCTTTTAACTACAACACAAAAATGCACACACAGCTGGATCCATGTGTTTTTCCCTAACACAACTTCTCATGTTTTTCTCTTCATGCTTTTGTGTTTTCAGTAACCTCTACATGTGTTTCCGTTCTGCAGCTGTTTACAAGACATCGATTTATTTATATCAAATTTAGTATCACTGCAGACTCCCAAATATTCCCAGCTTAGTTTATTAATATAATAAATTATTTATTGAATAACAAGCACATTTGTAAACATTTTACAATCCAGTAATCTGAAATTAATTCTGATCAGCAGCATCAGCACTAAAAACAGGAGCTGAACATTGAATTTTGATTTATTAGCAACCCCGGAAACCAGGAAGGTAAGAATTAGGTCAGGGTTATGTTATGCTCACAGAATAATAATTGGGAATTGACTAAACCTGGTTGTAAGAAATAATCAGTTTTTCACTGAGAGTCAAGTTTTTACAGTGGAAACAGAAAGTACAGGAGATAAAACCAGTTTAGCACTGAAAAAAAAAAAAAAAAACATATGTGTGCAGTTCTTCACACAATATACTCCTGATTGACTTCAACAGAAACAACTGAAGGTGTAATTACTGCAAATTCCAAAAATAATTGTATCAGTGGAAACCAATGTCAGACTGGTGGTGAACCTTAAACTTTCCATGATTGAACTTTTTTTTTTCAGCAGGTGTCTCTTCTGTCTTTTCTGTTTTGACGTTCCTGCTTGGAAATTCAAAGTTCTGGGTCAAAACAGAAAACACTGTGAACCAGCTGGTAGTTCGACTCGAAAAGTGGATTTCTCGATGATTTTTCACTCTCCGCTCATTAGTACTCCACATAAAATACAATTCTTAAGTGATATTTGTTGTTTTAGCTATTTGCTCCTAAAATGTTAGTGGGAAAATTGAGGTTCCAGCTCCAAACCAGCTTACTATATCCTTTTATAGCATTCTTAGATTCTGATTTCTTCCCATATTTATTAAAATGTTCAAACACATGGGAAAGTTTATAATAAAACGGCCTTGTTTAATTGGTATTTTAAGTCTGTTTATCTATACAGCATCAACACACAACAAGCACTTTACAAGATAAACATAATCCAATGAATTTATGTTGTTGTAATACAGTCCAAAATCATTCATGTGACCCCAACATATTCCTATAAAAGTTATTTTTGCATTTCTCGTGGGATGAAAACAACTGCTGACGACGGCCTTGTCAGTCAGTGAACAGCTGTGTTACGTCAAACCTCACACAGCTTCTGCTTTTTCATCATTTTTATTTGGATGTATGGTAAAATGCACAGTAAGGCGAGATTCTCATGTCTCAAAAATCGAAGGAAACTGAAAACTGAGCTAAGAAGAACATTGAAAAACAATCGTGGAGAAACACAAAGGAGAAACATGGGGAGATGTTACTCTCCATCCCAGAAGCATGATGGCTGGGATCCCACAGCTCGCTGTATGTGGTAACATTTACTACAGACCAAACAGCTGGGGCTCATGAGAGATGGCCAAGACAAAGAGCTGGATGTAGAGCGAGAGAGGACAGGGGAGTGGGCGGAGGGCAGCAAGAGAAAGTCTGGTTGTCTCTACGCGCTGTCACAAGACATGGAAAATACCGCAAAGGCTAATTAGAGTCAATGAGGCTATACAGAATGAGAAGTACCAACGCATGAGAAAAGTCAATGTGTTAAAGTTCAGCAGGAGGTCAGAGACTGCAAAAACATGGCTAAATCTGACTGATAATCCAACTGTGTAAACTCTTGTAGACTTCTACAGTCAAATAAACCACACTGTTCAGTCCTACAATTATCATAATGTCATATTTTTGTTATAAATGTTCTCTCTAAATGCTTAACAGCCGAGTTTTAACAAAGCAGCCTCTGGCCTCTTTTTGGGAAAGCGTTTTTTAAGCGTCTGTATAAACAAACATGAACATTTTATGTGAAAGGTCTGTGCTCAGTCTGCATTTTTCTATTCCCACGGTGCAACCCGAGCTATTCATGTTCCACATTTAGATCAGTCAGCCATTCCTCATTTATTCTCCTGATATTAGATGTTTGAGTATTTTTCGACAAAACTCTTCTTTAAAATTGTTCTACATATCGGTGAATATTTATGTCACTACTTGGTAATGTACAACACGCTGTCATTACCCAGTAAGTAGTTTTCCAGTTTAGAAGACACCGACTTCAAAGAAATAAAGTGTATATTTAAATAATAACTACATTCAAGTTGAAAAGTTGTGCATTTGCCACAGAAAACATGGTGAATTCTGAACACAGAGCTCACAAGGCATGTTTTTGTTTTCACTCCTTTACAGATGGGAGTAATTAAGAGCAACAAGGCAATAAAGGCCACAGGAAATCCATCGGCTCCATTTGCATACCCACTGCTGCCCGTCTGCAGTAATCATGGGGTTCGTCCTGGACTGGTCCCTAATCAAACGGCCACAATGCACCAGAAAAGCAACTTTGCACACACACATACATGCACACCTAATCAAACGTGTCACTCGCCTAACATGCATGATATTGGGCATGCTGAGATGAAATCAGACTACCTGGTGAAATCTCATGCATGAACAAGGGGAATGTGCAAATTCTCTGCATCGAGCTACAAACCACAGCTGCTTGAACCAAAGACTACTTTTACGTCGTTGGGTTCTCCAGGTCGAATCTGTCTAATCATAAAGTACCAGAAACGTTTGGAAGGCGGGTGGTGACTGATGTTTTTTGATAATATAAAATATAAAAACATAAGTCGATCAACTTCTCAATACCTCTGGAAAAGGCCAGGAACTTTGCTAATGGCGACCAAACAGAAGTTGGAGCGATTCATTAGTTTCAATGGCAAAACCATGAAATGCTGAGTCAGATGTTCCGTCCCTGAATGCACCAAATTGTCATCTCCAAGAACAAAGTGACAGTGGGATAAAGCACTAGTTACCTGGGAAATCCAAAGCACAGAAAGCAACGAGTGTTGGATGCAGACAAATTGAACCATCCAAATAAACCAATCTGGAGCTTGAAATATTTTGACTCCTTGGCCTTTGTTGACAGCAGCATGCCTGCCTCCATGCCAATGCACAGTGGAAGTGAACAATCAGAATGATCTAAAATCACAAGGCTACAGTTTGATAGAAAAGTGACCTGGCAACATCAACCACATAAGGAGCGCCATACGATCCCTGGCAAGATACAAGACAACTGTCTACTCTGGCATCGTCATGGTGCCATGGTGATGGTGCCATGGTGATGGTGCCATGCCATGTTTTGGTTTGATCAAAACCTCAACCTGAAGAAACAAAAGATCACTGTGAGGGACAGGAGAGCCTGGAGCTGCAGGGAAAACGTAAACAAAGTTATGATGATCTTGTAATGAATGCTGAAGTCGTTTTTGATGAATTAGTCTTTAGTACCACCTTTTCATTGTTGTGAAAAGACATAACTGCTTGATCATTCACATCACTTGCTTGTTTCAAGAACCTTTGGAGTTCAAAGGTTTAACAATTTCCAAACCTTCTAACCCAGCTTGATCCAACAGGCTGGGTTGGATGGATTGTCTAGGGAGGGTCGGTGTCAAAGTGGCAGGTTGAATTTAATTATATTGTAAGTTACATTGTAAATTGCAAAAAAGGAAATAAAACTAAGTGTTTTTGGAAACAGGATAGGATTTTTTAATACTCATTGGTCTTTGTGGAATACATCTTCTTCAGAAAACTTTTTAGACTTGTTTGTCACCATTTTATGCTTAACTGGGTCATGAAAACATAAATAGGATATTTCCATGCATAAAATGTTCAAATTAAACATGCTAAACAAATCTGAAAGCTAACGCGCTTAGTTTGGATGGCGCATTAATCTCCTATATGCAGCTTTTTGCAATACATAATAATTAGCATTTCTCCTAGCTCATCTCTTCCTGATTTCTCTTTTATCCAGTAATCTAGTGATCACAGCTGTGGGTCTTTGGGAATGAGCTAATTTTGACCCTTTTTCTCCTCACATCTTGCATGTCCCCTTTGAGGCAGACTCAACTAAAACTCATTTGTGTGACACTGCAGACTGTAACACAGTGATGTGTTACTGCTGAAGAGACGAGGTTATCTGGAACAACTGTACTTGTGCCAATCAGGAGGCAGCTTTTCTGTGCAGTGGATACAGAGCTGATTCAGTCTGAACTCCTCCCCACGGCTACAAATCCTGAGGTTTACGGTGAAACCACCAAAGTGAGCGCATGAAAGAGAAATCATACGCTGTTCCCTGAGGGCTGAGCGAATTCTTCGGCTAAAAATACTCCTCCAAATTTCTCAATCACGCTCTATCCTACTGCGCCACAATGCAGGAGCTTTAGAACTTAAAAAGCATGGAGGAATTAACACAAAGAAATAGGCCGCCACTGAAATGGGTGAAATGTGTTCGTCTTCTCCCCCCTTGATCATCCTCCTTCCTCTCACCCTGCTTCCCTCTACCGCTGCCTGCCTTCAGAAATTGAATTAATCCCTCTGTGATCGGCGATTTTGCCTTTTCCTTTCTGTCTCCTTTCCTTTCGGTGCGACATGAGCACCCCGTCCTCTTCCCCGAGGGATTCTCCTGCACATCTAAGGATTCCTGAGGTGGTAGATACTGTATGTGGAAAATGAAGCTGATTTGCCGGCTCTCCGATGGTTAAGATGAGTAAATAAGGAATAGTTTCAATTAGGCAGTGGGAATGCACCCGCTGGCGACTTCTTGATTTAGTTTTAATCACTG